CACAGGTACAAGATCCACTGTCAGTGTTCTGAAAATCATTATAAATCCTAAGCGTGCGAATGCATAAATCAACCTAACAATCTCTTCAACTGCCACATGTTTGGAAAAGAGTCATTAATGGACAGCCAGCACTTCTGCCAAACCACGTAAGCGGTATTTAACAACCAATTGTGCGTGCAATTCACCGAGAAGTTAATGTAGCATGAAGGAATGTCACACATACAGTGCTGCCTTTTCCAAATGGGATTTCTGATACATTCCATGGCTGTGAGCTATTCTCACTCCCACAAAGCACCCAAGTACCACGACACACTCAAAAAATACCTACTTTTTTTTTTTTCTTTTTCGAAAAGCCTACCTCAAGGGTGTCCAAGCTACAGCCCACGAGTCATTTGCAGCCCACCACCTGTTCTGCTGCAGCCAGTGAGATAGAGCTTTAAAAAAGAAGCAAATTTAGATTTTCACTTTTGAAAAAATGATATTCTCAACACTAGGTGCACAACCAAATCTCACAATAAATCACCTCCACTAGTGTCTTCTCTTCGAACAGCTCAAGACTGCAGTCTCCACCAGCTTCTTCCACATTCTGAGTACTAAAATCCACTGGAGGGCCAAATAAAAAGAATGACAAGTTAGTTCTAGGCATGCAAGTACTGCCATACTGTGTCCATGTCCTCATACTCATTAGTGTTTCATTCCAAAAACCTAAATAAAATAAAAAATAAAAATAATAATAATGCACATTCCATGCATATCTGCTGAGTTGTGCACAGTGGCATGGGCATGCAAGTTTATCGACCGCACTTTCCTAGAATGTCCTCTCTCACAAGTATTGCTGGTAAGTTTAAACATGAATTGGTAGGTCTGTCAGCTTCACTGAAAAATAAAAATGATTCATGTAGACTTTGCAATTCTGTTGGAGAGTAAGGACACAAAAGAAGTCTCTTCTGCTCAATAAAACTGCATTTATTTGATTAAAAAGCTGAAACTATATATATATATATATATATATATATATTTATATATTTTTATTCCTTATTTACTTGTTCTATTTTTATTTTATTATTTTTTTTATTATCTGTGTTTTTTTGTTCTGTCACTGTCATTCTGTTACACTGTGGAAGCTTCTGTCACGAAAACAAATTCCTCGTATGTGTAAACATACCTGGCAATAAAGCTCATTCTGATTCTGATTCTGATTCTATCCCATAGACTTTCATTGAGGGAGTGTAAACTTCTATACAATAAGACTTATGGTGTATTTAAGCTGTCTATTGCTATAGCAAAGCTTAACAACTCCCTACTGAAAAAAACCCCCAGCTAAAACCAGCCTAAGCTGATTGACTGCTTTGGCTAGTTTCCCAAGCTGGTTTTAAAGTGGTTTTGGCCATTTTTTTTAGCAGGTCAGTCTGGTCTTAGCTGGTTTTTAGCTGTGTTTTTACTGAATCAACTGGTTTTAGCTGGATTAGCATAGAAACATGCTAACAACATGCTAGTAACATGCTAATCATGTTAGAAATGTGCTATCACCATGCTAATAATGTTAACAAAATGCTAGTACCATGCTAATCATGCTAGAAACATGCTAGCAACATGTTAGTAACATGCTAATAATGCTAACAACATGCTAGTATCAAGCTAGAAACATGCAAGCAACATGCTATTAACATGCTAATCATGCTAACAACATGTTAGTAACATGTTAATAATGCTAGAAACATGCTAGCAAAATGCTAGTAACTTGCTAATAATACTAGAATCATGTTAGTAACTTGCTAATAATGCTAACAACATGCTTGTAACTTGCTAATCATGCTAACAACATGCTAAACATGCTAAACATGCTAACAACATGTTAATCATGCTAGTAACTTGTTAACCATGCTAGTAACATGCTAGTAACTTGCTAATCATGCTAACAACATGCTAATAACACACTAATCATGCTAGAATCATGCTAACAACATGCTAATCATGTTAGAAACATGCTAGCAACACGCTAGTAACATGCTAATAATGCTAGAATCATGCTATTAACTTGCTAACCATGCTAGTAACATGCTAGTAACTTGCTAATCATGCTAGAATCATGCTAGTAACATGCTAATAATGCTCTATCTATCTATCTATCTATCTTATATTGCCTTTAAAACATTAAAACTTTAAACTGTAGAACTACTTAAAGCTATTACAATGTTTTCAACCTTTCTGGCCTGGGTTTTTCAAGCCAACTTTAAAGTTTGACATCAAACTTTATTCATCTAGTTACTATCAATGTTGAAAACGGTTTATTATTTGTGTGAACACCTTGATATAATTACTTTGATGAATAGAAAGTTCATCAAAAAACAAACATTTCAGACTGATGTTAAAGGGTCAATTGGGTGTACCATGATGGGTGTAATTGATGGTACTGTCTCAGAGTCAGATTGTTGTTCCCTTAAAGGCAATTTTTAATACTTTTTTTGCTGGAAAATTAAAGCACAAAAATACTCACATTATGCATATTTAAAAATGCTACATTATGTACCTTTAAGATGAACTTCCTTGGTATTTAACGACAATATAAGAAAGAACACGTTTCAGTGACTTGAAATGCGGTTTACAAAATAATTCAGTATATAGTCTACAAGCAACTCACCTATCAAGCCAGTGTTCTGAAAGACCCACATTTTAAGCCACACTGGATGACAAAGCCCATTAAAATATAATTACAAGCATAGCTCCATACACACAGGTCTGCTGAAGGATTATAAGAACAGGTATTTGTATTTATTGGTCTTCTGAACCGTGAGGGTAATGAGAACACGTTCATTCTCAGGGACGAGCCGACATGCCAAGAGAATATAGATGCGAAATAATTAAACAAAAGACCTGACATTGCAGTTCACAGAGGATGCCAGTAATAAAATGTCACACTGCATTCAGAGAAGAGACACACAAAAATTATATGAACATGAATATTTCCATATATAAAGCTATAAACTTATAAAATTAAATCACAAATAGGCTTAACAGAAAGAAGAAAACGGAAAACATCCAGCTAGCAGGCGGTTATTCAATGTTTTATATGTAGTGCATTCAAGAACAAGGCGATAATAATGCCAGCTATTCACTAATGCATGAGAAAATGCTGAGAGTAATGGTTCAGAAAATCATGCAAACGACACTTTGGTATGATCACACTGTAGTATCATGAACAGGATCCTTGTGTGTCCTTACAGAAAATGTTGGTTGGAATAGAATCTGTCATTATGTGCATCTGAAGTTGTTCTTGGTACTGTGAGTAACCCTTACCATCAAATAACGTCATCAAATCACCATACTCTCATGACTACCCCTTGTCTAGAAATCATTCATATCCACAGCATGGTGGCAGCTTATATCCATTTATTTTCCTGAGGGCTATGATTCAAACACTTGCCGAGGGATTATTGAGACTGCACTTATTTTCCATCATTTCCTGATATGCAATATGCATACTTGTCAGCTTTGTAGGAGGATGCAGAGACTAAAACCGGCTCCATTCTTGCCAGGAAGCCCACTCAGTTCACCCAACCTGTTGCACATCAACGGCCCAGTAGACAGGACTGACATTAAAAAAAATGTACATAATTGAGAGCATGGCACATCTTATAATCTGCATTTATGTTAAGGTTTTTACTAAATCGCATCGAGCAGCACTGTTTTGTAATTCATTGTTCTTTGTTATGGAACTCCTTAAAATTTTACAGTGATTTGTGTTATATTAAGTTCTGGCATATTCTCAGGAAACAGTGTGATTTCTGTGTGATGACCTAGTGCTAATATAAAGAAATACATATTGCAGACAACAGGGCTCTACAGTGCGACCATTTCAGTCGCATTTGCGATTGAAAACTACTGCATGCGACTATGAAATTTTTTTTAGGAGCACCAGTGCGACTGACCAAATCATCATCATACTTGTGATTGATTTGATAAAATTTTGCATTATTGATTAGAAGGTGCTCCTAAAATTTTGAACGTGCTCCTAAATTTTTTAAGTTAGGAGCACAAGTGCTCCTAAAAAGAAAAGTAAGCGTAGAGCCCTGAGACAATGTACATCATATTCTACGCTCATATGATATGATATTTGTCACACTTAATAAATATTAAAATAAAATGAAACGTTAACCAATAGGATTGTTAGTTTTTAATTTGTTTATAAAAATGTAATTTATAACTACATATATAAAATTCATTTTATACAGTATACACACACACACACACACACACATATATAATGTATTATACACAATAATATAATATAATATAATATAATATAATATAATATAATAGTTACAGCCATGGTACTTTAGGCCTAAGGTGGGAAAATAAGATTCTGGAAAGAGCAACAGTAACCCTTTAAAATGAAATGCTGAAATTTTCAGGCACTGTTTCCTGAGAACAGGACCTCGAAAATGGCTTCCCATCACTTATTATTTTGAGATTCAATCTTGAATGTTGAATTCCATAATCTAAATGAATTTTTAAGGTTCTAACCTAATCAAGGCCTCCAACACCACACCATCTCCCGTAAGTATCGTGCCCTCTAATGAGACCGGTCCTGACAAGATGGAGTTCTGTTTTCTGTCACCATCATGTTTAAGAGAATTAAAGAGAGGCCGTTTTAATAAACACTAGAAAATTTACACTGATGGATTCTCTTCCACTTGGGCTGATAGATTATCTAGAAAACAGGGAGCATGAGTCACACAAGACATGTTTCTTGGGACCCAATAACGGTTCACATCTACAGATGCATGTGAGCTGTGGAGATAAGATCTTCACTAAAGTCTAAATGGTTCCTGGGGAATAATTACCTATATGGACCCGTGGCTCCTTCCCAAGAACAATGACATTTTTCAACATAGTGTTTACTATATATCAGGTTCTTTAAATCATATATGGTGTACCACAACTGCTTTCGGCTCAGGATGTATCTGTTGTTTTGGAACAGAGTGCTGGACTTTACTTACCGAGTAGACAGATACAAATGTAGTCATTGACCAGATCAATGCAGGTGCCCCCATTAAGGCAAGGTCTGGACCAGCACTCATTCATATTCTCGGAGCATGTTCGACCTGCATTAACACAGACAAATAGATAACAAGATGCCTGTATCATATCATGTTATACTTCTGTGACCATGTTTTGAAGTCAATATAAATAACTATTTGCGACATGTTTTACTTCCGTAATGTAACATATTTCCAAGTAAAACAAGGTATTCAATTAGAAAAATCGTAATCATTGCTCTATTGAGAATTAATAAGTGGCCATTAAGAATTAGAAAGAAGCCTAAATAAATGCAAGCTCATATAAATATTTAAAAAAATGAATTATAAAGATTTTAATTTCAATAATTTTAAACAATTAGGCTAAATGGCCACATTTTTTTTTTAATCTTGAGGAATTCAACCATGTTAGATTTTGAAAGTCAATGCCTGTCAAATGCCCAGAGATGGTTTCCCGCCTCAGTAGTACCGCTGAGTAAAACATTTAGCTTACCCTTAAATCCTGGAGCACACAGGCATTGGTAACCTGCCACCAAATCAATGCAAGTGGCACCGTTGGCGCATGGTGCACTTTTGCATTCATCTGTCTCAAGCTCACAGAACGTTCCCTCATATCCCAGCATGCAGTGGCAGGTGTAGTTGTGCTGTTGGTCCAGACAGACGGCGTGTTCTGAACACTGATGCTCAGAGAAGAAGTCAATGTCAAGTTCGCAGTGGACTCCAGTATATCCGTGACCGCAAAGGCAACTTGGAATGCATAAAACAGTATCTCTTAATGGAATCGCGAACAAAACAGCCGGACACGGTATGAAAATAAATGGCTGAGTCATGGGGGTGGACAATGTAATTTGCTTTGCTTTCTATCACAGGAACATGCTATTTGTTTTAGCAGCTATGGGTGGTTTAATTCTAGAATGAGACAGTAAACAGCAACTGAACCTGAACAGAATATCAATTTTAATTTTATACTGAGAGAGGCACCCTGTTTGAAATGGATAAATCCATCTCAATCACTCATTTTGAAAAAAATAAATAAATAAAAACTACAATAGGACAACATGCTACTTTTAAGGGAATAAAAACTTAGTTATCTCCCCACCCAGTATGTCTTTCCAAACCCGTATGCTTTTATTGTATCTATGAAACACATTTTATTTTTATTATTATAATTTTTTATTATTATACAGATTTTTTCCATACACAGTGAGCTTGGGCTGTCAAACTCCAAAAGGCACTATAAAAGAACAATAAAAGTTGCCCGCACAACTGAATTTTAAAACAATACACCAGTTTTGTGCAAAATAAAATAAATATATGAAGAGTTAATTTGCTCCATTTTTGCTCCAAAAAAATGAAATCACGTTTTTTTATTGCGCATTCCAAGTAATATCAATCAAACTGCAGTTGGGTTGTTTTGATTAAGTAATAATAACTTTAAAAAATACAGGTAATTTACAAAATTAAAGTTCATTGAAAGCATGTTTTTTTTTTTTACATCTTAAAAGTTTGTTTTATAGCAAGAGCAGATAACTCCGACAGTCGTTTTTTGGCAAAAGCAGATAACTCCACATTTCATGTTTTAGAGTAAAAAAAA